GATGATGATGATGATGGAGGATGGGGATGATGATGGAGGATGGGGATGATGATGATGGAGGATGGGGATGATGATGGAGGATGGGGATGATGATGGATGGTGATGATGATGATGATGATGGAGGATGATGATGGAGGATGATGATGGAGGATGGGGATGATGATGGATGGTGATGATGGAGGATGGGGATGATGATGGAGGATGGGGATGATGATGGAGGATGGGGATGATGATGGAGAATGGGGATGATGATGGATGGTGATGATGATGGATGGTGATGATGGAGGATGATGATGGATGGTGATGATGATGATGGAGGATGGTGGTGATGGAGGATAATGATGATGATGGAGGATGGGGATGATGATGGAGGATGGGGATGATGATGGAGGATGGGGATGATGATGGATGGTGATGATGATGGTGGAGGATGGGGATGATGATGGATAATGATGGATGATGATGATGATGGAGGATGGTGATGATGGAGGAGGATGATGATGGAGGATGGTGATGATGGAGGATAATGATGATGATGGAGGATGGGGATGATGATGGAGGATGGGGATGATGATGGATGGTGATGATGATGATGGGGATGATGATGGATGGTGATGATGGGGATGATGATGGATGGTGATGATGATGGATGGTGATGATGATGATGGAGGATAATGATGATGATGGAGGATGGGGATGATGATGGAGGATGGGGATGATGATGGATGGTGATGATGGAGGATGATGATGGATGGTGGGGATGATGATGATGGATGGTGATGATGATGGATGGTGATGATGATGATGGAGGATAATGATGATGATGGAGGATGGGGATGATGGAGGATGGGGATGATGGAGGAGGATGATGATGGAGGATGGTGATGATGGAGGATAATGATGATGATGGAGGATGGGGATGATGACTATGCTGTTTTATCTTGCAGACAGCAGGAAGTGGGATGATTTCCAGCCTCCGAGCACTCAGGTAATTCTTCTTCCATTTAGGGAATTGCTCCGCCCCCTGCGGCGTCGGCGTCAAGGATCAAGCAGCTTTTTTTTGGTGTGTAATCAAAGTGGCGTCCGTGTGTTTCAGGAGAGCCGGCCGTCCAATAGGAAGGGGCATAGTGCCGCGGTGTACGGGTCCGCCATGTTCGTCTACGGGGGATATTTCGATATCGAGGGCACGGTGGAGGAATTCTGGAAGTTTGATTTTGGTAACCATCATCATTTTGGAATGTACATTGTGCGCCGGATGTAGAATTTGGGGTCATTGTCTGTCGCCCGTCACTAGCGGTCAGAGCCGAGGCGTCCTTTATATTGGAGAGATTCCATTGTGAAAATCACCAGCGGGGCGACTTATGGCGAGCGTGGGGCGCAGCAATATACGTTCCGCTGGGATCCACCATGAAGCCGTATGATCAGGCTCGGGCAGGGGCATGATGGCCATTCTGTCTATGGGGCTACAGACCCTCCGCCCATCAGCACAGCATCTTGTAGCTCCCATTAGGTGCTGGGAGACGCACACCGAGCATGCCAGCACGGATTTGCTTTCTTGCTTGGTGTGTGGTCAGAATGCTGGAGGAACACGAGGGGGGCAGATTATAGTAGATTTCTAGGATGGCAAACACTTCAGAATCCTTGTTTAACCCCCCAGGGGCCCGATCGCATGAAGCACTTGGTCCCATTCTGATGTGTGGCCACATTGGGCAATGAAAATACTTATTTATATCTGTGTCAGCTGTCAGCTCCGCCCCAGGCTGAAGCCCAATTTGTTTTTATTCCTTACTTTACTTTGCAAAACATAACAGAAAATTGAGAATTCGATTATTTAGTGCGGGGCAAAGTACACGCCGTCTGCCCCGGGGTAGGCCTTGCCAGCACTGGATTACCCCTATGAGGGCAGCCTGCAATCACAATAGTAAAGGATCAGCCAGCACTGGGGGGTGCTGTGTGAGAAACAGAAGTATCTAACAGTAATCCCTTCCCCCCCCAACAGGACCTGTTCATCTCGCTGCACCCCACAACTGCCCAAAGAGGACACACAGGGAACACCACCCTCTCTTTGTATTCCCAGAAGGCTGCATATCATCCAATGGCATCATCTGAGAACACGGGCAACCTGCACTGACTGCGCACCGTCACCTGACGGGAGAAAGTTATGGCAGCAAGAGGACACTTGTCCACATGTGTCCATAGATAGTCAGCTCTAATGGGGCTGTGTGCCCTGTCTGCCAGTGCAGTGGATGTTCACACCACCCCATCAGCACTGACTGATCATTTACTATTGTGAGTGCCTGTGCTGTGATCCCCTCCCCCTGCCGTGCTGGATGATGGATGATAACGCTCCTCTCCAGTGTACACCTGCTGCCAGAGATGAATGATGTCAATCAGACCTCATTGGAGATTTTTCTCCTTCTGAGCAATGTGGTCAAATAGCGGCAGGGGGTGCGGGGGAACCAGATGTCTTGCTGCACTCCTTACCGGAAGTAGTGACCACGGAAGGCACCGTGTATATCACAGAAGAAGAAAATAATGTCACCAGCACACCGTAAAGGCCGTGACACACTGCACGCCAAGCAGCGCGGAGCGGGGGCGCGCTGCATTTGCGAGCAGTGTGTCATGTAATTTTCTGCTCGGCACCTCAGCTTGCGAGAGCTCACGGAGCTGAGCGTGCCGAGATGAACAATTTCAACTTCAGCCAATCGGCTCGTGCGTATAAACCAGCGCGTCGCGATGCGACACCTGGCAGGTTGTTACGGACGAGCCGATTGGCTGAAGGTGCTGTCAATCATCTGACTGCACCTCAGCTCACACACTGCACGCGAAGCTCTGTGCCGGAGAGCTTTGCTTCGCTCTGCACGGCTTCGCGTGCAGTGTGTCACGGCCTTAATAGTAAATCGATGATCCATTTTATTGGCACATTGCCATCCAATGCAAGCGCTTACGGGGCCACAAGGGGTCCCCTTCATCAGGCTCAGGGTGCGGTGGGGGGGTGCGCTGTTGATCATGTTAGCTTATCACATGCCGCACCTATCAAAACGGGACCAAGTGCTACATGCACTTTGTCCCTTGGGGGACAGGAGGAGAAGGAAAGATTTCTAGTGAGACTTCTTCTTTGAATCCCAGTCTATGATTTGATGATCTTTAGCCAGCCTAGCCCTCCGGCTCCATGTCCATGTTATATGATTTGATGATCTTTAGCCAGCCTAGCCCTCCGGCTCCATGTCCATGTTATATGATTTGATGATCTTTAGCCAGCCTAGCCCTCCGGCTCCATGTCCATGTTATATGATTTGATGAGAGGTTCTCTCCCAGGTTGGGGATCAGTGGGGTTTTGCAGTGAGCCGCGGTGAACGCCGGTATAAAGCTGCCATTGTACCGAGACGAGACTTCCTATAACCTGTGCTGTCCTCTCCTCCAGACACCCAGAAATGGTCAGCGCTCAGTCCCCGCACACGGGGCCTCGGTCCAGGACCTCGCCATGGCCACTCCAGTGCCACACACAACTCCGCAATGTACTTGTTTGGGGGTCTGAAGAACATGGCCGAGCAGAACGACTTTTGGAGATTCGACTTCCGCCGACACAACTGGTCCAACATCAAAACCAGGTACGTGTCCTATCTGTACACCTTCAACATTACATAGCTAAGCAGGTCCGAAGCTTATCTTCATGTGCAGTGAGAGCTTTCCATGCTCTATTCCTGCATGAGGAGGTGGAGGGGATAGGTCTGTGGGGTGAAAAAGGATCGAAGTCTTACTAATGATGTGCGTTTACAACCAAGTTATCCAAAGTACAAATATGATATGATCCATGTATGGAGGAAAGTCTGAGGGGTTTAGCTGTATGTGCCGTGAAGTAAAGCGTTTCCTTTCATGATATCTTGAATCAGGAAGGATCCGTGTAGTGCTGGTTACAGTTGGCCCACAGATTTGAGGATTGAAGTCAAAATGGAACCTTTTTATGCCCAAATGTTTGTGGACCCCCCTCCAAATGAAGGAGTTCAGGTGTCTCCAGTGAAGGTTCTTTTAATACTAAATAGAAAGACATTGTAGACAATTGGGCTCTTCCAGGCTTGTGATAACAATTTGGTGAAGATCCTTTTCTGTTCCACCATGACTGTCCCCCTGTGTACAAAGCCAGCTCCATAAAGACACGGTGTGACCAGTTTGGTGGAGGAACTCCAGTGTCCTCAAAGCCCCGACCTCAACCCTACTGGGCACCTTTGGGATGAATTGTAATGGTAATTGTGAGCCCGGTCTTCTCACCCAATATCAGTACCTGACCTCACAAATGGGACCAATTCCCACAGACTCCCTCCAAAATCTTGTGGAAGCCTCCCCAGAGGGGATGAGAGCAAATTTTGCATCTCATTTGGAAACCAAGGACCCAGAGTATGGAAGAAGAATGGAGAGGCACACACTGCAAGATGCTTGGAGTCCAGTGTGAAGTTTCCACAGTCTGTGTTGATTTGGGGAGCCATGTCATCTGCTGGTGTTGGTCCACTGTGCTTCATGAAGTCCAGGGTCAACGCAGCCGTCTACCAGGAGATTTTGGAGCACTTCATGCTTCCTTCCGCAGACGAGCTCTATGGGAATGCTGACACTGCCAAAAGCACCAAAACCTGGTTCAATTACTGTGCTTGACAGGCCAAGGCAAGTAAGGCGGGAGCTGCAGGGTGAGGGCGCGAAAAACAGGGCATTTTGACAAGTACTCGTCAAAATGCCCCGATGTTTGCGCTATGTTTTTTTTTACTTACCATCGGTGCGGGAGAGCAGCGGCGAGTCAGCGCTGGTCCAGTGGGAGGAGCTCCAGGTGGGGTCCTAATTTAGCTGGCCGGCTTCATATATTAGTTTCACCTTTTAAGTTGCATTAGTGAAATAACAAACTTTTGCACGATATTCTAATTATTTAGGATATCGCGTGATGCCGATGCGCTTTGTATGTGTTCTGTAGTCCACAAATGTATGTGTATGTCTGAAATTTTCTGTTAGAATTATTAATTTTTATGTTTTATCTGCCCAGCTCCGGCCCCCCTAAACTGGTGGGCCATGCATCGGCCATCCACCAGGGCTCCCTGTGGGTCATCGGTGGGGGACTACCATTTTGCAGCCCCACCAGCAACCTGTGGAAATACGACTTCACCTCCCGCTCCTGGAAGAGAATATCCCGTGGAAAGGAACACAATGGCTGCGCCAAGATGTACCACTGCGTCATCCCGCTGGGGTGGCGTTCCCGGCCAGGGACAGGGAGCTCCGACTGTGGGCTGGACGAGACCCTCCTGGAGAGCGAGCAGCCCAACAAACTTCATTCATTTCCTTCTTGGGGAGCCAACAAAGTGGCCACCATTCCTACCTCAGATCTCATAGAGATGAAGACTCTGAAGGAGGGCCCGGCCGGCCCTCTATTCTGCTCCTGTTCGTCTTCCGCTGAGCACACGGAGGAGCATCTCCTCACCACCTATGAGAACGAATGTTTCTCCTACTCTGGGGAGGAGACGGAAGCAGATTATTGCCAAGTGGACTCGGGTGACCGGACTGTGACAGGAAAGGAGAATGTTTTCTTGGTCATAGGTGGGAAACCTCTCTCTAGACACTGCGATATCTCTGTATCCCGTATCCATCTGGAATAGCAGCTGCCTCGGCCGTGTCCCCCGGCTATTCGGTTCTGGCTGGCAGGGCATGCTGAGACTTGTGGCTCAACAGTAGCTGGAGAGCCACAGAATGCAAAAAGTTGTCTATTTTTTTTAAAGGAAAAAACTATCTCCCCCTTTTCTGCTGTTACAATGCAGTTTGATTGCACTAATCACTCCAATTCCCGGAGCTAAACGGTTTCTGTGCGTCTTAAGCTGAACTTCAGCCTTGCTTTAAGTCTTCTACAGTTGTACCGACTCCTGTCCCGGACTGAAATGTCTTCCTCTGACGTCACTGCACACTGGGAGCTCCTCACAAAGTGCATTAGAAGCTGAAGCAAGTCAGCGAGAGCTCCGCCTCATTTCCAGCATCATCTAGCACAGTGGTGGCGAACCTTGGCACTCCAGCTGTGCCAAAACTACATATCCCAACATGCATCTGCCTCTGGGAGTTATGTATGTGGCTGTCAGAGCCTTGCAATGCCTCATGGGACTTGTAGTTCCAAAACAGCTGGAGTGCCAAGGTTCGCCACCACTGCTCTAGCACTTATCTCCCCAGCTTGACTGTCCCTTGCCCCGAACCTTTCATTATTTGGATGTCATTGTATTGTTGTGTGACACTCACTAATGGCCGATATAGTAACCATGCATTTCACTGTCTTCCTGGAGATGTCTAGCCAGGCAGACAGGATTCCTGGGCACTTTTACTGCCGCAGTGGGCTCCCTGGGAAGGCCCTAAGACAGGGATGTCCAAACTGCAGCCCTCCGGCTGTGGTGGAACTACGAATCCCATGAGGCTTTGCAAGATTCTCACAGCCACGACTCCCAGAGAGAGAGATGCATCATGGGATTTGTAGTTTCACTGCAGCTGGAGGGCCGGAGTTTGGCCATCCCTGCCCTCGGATATTGCTCAGATCTGGGAGGACAAACAGCACACACTGCAATATGGCGCTCGTACCCTCCTGCAACATTTACTAAACCCATCGCCGCCGCCGCCGCCGCCGCCGCCTCCTCCTCCTTCGCTCTCCACTTCCAGCCCGCAGAGCGGAATATAAAAAGGTGACTGCAGGAGGTCATTTGGTGATCTTCTCCGAACACTTCCTGATCACATGACAGCATTCATTCAGGGAAGGTCACGTCGGTTTTAGGGCTCTGCGGGAGGATCCCATTATTAGAGTTAGATTTCCTCTCCCTGGAATCTGCACATCCTGTAGACTCTTCCTATGAACCTCCTGTGGATGCATGTGCCTAGGGTTGCCACCTGTCCAGGATTCACCCGGACAGTTCGGGTTTTGAATGCTGTGTCATGGCAGCAGAAACCCGGACACAAGATGTCAGGCACACAGGAGAAACCAAAATTAAGATAGGGACTACTGGCTCCCCCCCCCCC